GTCACCCCAGTACATTCCATGAAAAAGAAAAAAAGATTGACGACCAAGAGAAATGAGTAGGAGTGTACAAAAACGCAATTTTCTTTCATTTATAGATCTGTCTCAGAACTTTCTAAAATTCTCATTAATGCCCATAACTTTTCTAACAATTGTCTGACGAGTCTCAAATTTTCTGAAACTATAATCATACTATCTAGGAGTCCTAAGAATTTCTTGTTGCTTTTCAAATCTTTATGGTTTATTTTTCTGTCTTGTTTTCTTGTGCTGGCTGAAAACACCCAGAAAATCCTTAAATCAAAGTGATAATAACATGTATCTATTGGTTCGTGATTTTAAGGAGAATGCGTCTCAGTTTGTCACATCGAGTGTAATATATGTGACAGGGTTCATCAGTGCCCTTTACCAGGTTAGGGACATTTCCAGTATTTCTAGTTGACTAGATATTTCTAACAGGAATAGCTGTCGAATCTTCTTTAGGATGCTCTTTTGGGTGTCTATTGAGATTACGTGATCTTTCTCCTTTAACCTGCTAGTATGTCATTTATGTTATGTTCTAATGGTGGACCAACCTCGCAGTCATGGAATAAACCTTCACCCTGACCCTGTAAATACACTGCTGCCTTCAGTTCTCATTATTTTGTGTAGGACCTTTGCATCTTTGTCCCTGAGACAGGCCTGTGACTCTGCCTTCTCAGACTGCCTTTGTCTGCTTTGGGCAGTACAGACAGAAGCTAGGATGTGTTTCCTCGGCTTTTGTCTGTTCAGAGAATTGGCAGAATAGTGAAACTCTCCATTCCTTGAATATTTAGTAGAAAGCACCAGGGAGACCATCTGGGCCCAGGGTTTCCTTTGGGGCAGATTTCTGTCTATGAATTTAAATTCTTTAATCGTTATAGGACTATTTTGGTGTTCCATTCCCTCTTTAGTCAGTTTTGGCAAATTAGTTTTTCTAAGGAATTTTTCCAGGTCCTCAGAGTTTCTATACTACCTGGAAATTAACATTCATAATCTTCTTTTTATCTTTTTAATCTCTCCTGCATCTATAATTATGTCTCTATTAATTCTTCATCTCAGTTATTGGTGCTTTCTCTTTTTCTCTTAATAATCTTGCTAGCAATATAGCAGTTTAATATTCTCTTCAAAGAACTAGCATTTGGCTCTTGTTTCTATCTTTGTTTTCTCTTTTATTAATTTATACTTTAATGTCATTTCCTTCCACTTTTTAAAGCAGGGGTGTCCATCCTGCAGGCCACATGCATTCCAGGATGGCTATGAATGTGGTCCAACACAAAATCGTAAATTTACTTAAAACATGAGGGTTTTTTGTTTGTTTGTTTTCATTAGTGTTTGTGTATGTTTTCATTAGTGTTAGTGTAATGTGTGGCCCAAAGACACCAAAAGATTGGACACCCCTGGGGGGTTTTGTTGTTGCTGTTTTTCTTTTCTAACACCTTGTTTTATTTGCTTGACCCACTAATTTTTTACCTATCTTCTCTTTTTTAATATAAACACATGAGGCTATAAAATTTTCTCTAAGTACTATTGTAGATGCAGCCCACACTTTCTTTTTTAAAAGATTTTGTTTATTTTTAGAGAGAATGGAAGGGAGGGAGAAAAAGGGAGAGAAGCATGTGTGATCAGCTGCCTCTCACACGCCCTCTACTGGGGACCTGGGCCACAACACAGGCATGTGCCCTGACTGGGATTTGAACCTGCAGCCTTCCAGTTCAAAGGCCGGCCCTCAATCCACTGAACCACACCTGCCAGGGTGCAGCCCACACATTTTGATAAACAGTATTTTCATTAGCATTGGGTTTCAAATATCTTCTCATTTTCATTATAATTTGTCCATAGAGCAAGCTTTGGATTATTTCGAAAGCAAATAAATACACACACACGCATATGTATGTATATACATGTACACTCATATACATATGTATTTTTAATTTTAGCATGTACAGGGACTTTGGGGATATCTGTTATTTTTAACTTAATAGCATTATAGTTAGGAAATAGGTATGTAGAAAATAATCTTTTTGGTTTTATTTAATGTTCTTCATGGCTTTAAAAGCTTGTGTTTCCCTTCTCTTTAAATTCTACTTATTTCCATTCAGTTGGGTTTGTTAATAGTGTTGTTCAAATTTACTGTAACCTTTAGGCAGCAAGATTTATCAACTACAGAAGGAGGTATGTTGAAATGCCCCACAAAGAAGGTGGATTTGTTTATTTCTCCTGGAGTTTTGTCAGTTTTGCTTTATTATTTTGAAGCTATGCTATTAGATTAAAAATTTAGAATTATTTTATCTTCCTGGCCAGTTTGCCATTGTGCAGTAATCCTGTTTTTCCCCCTCTTTCTATGAATATGTTTCTTTTTAAAGTCTCTTTCACCCTGGCTGGTGTGGTTCAGTGGATCGAGTGCCAGCCTGTGAACCAAAGGGTCACCAGTTCAATTCCCAGTCAGGGCATGTGCCTGGGTTGTGAGCCAGGTCCCCAGTACGGGGTGTGTGAGAATCAACCACACATTGACGTTTCTTTCTCTCCCTCCCTTCCACTCTCTAAAAATAAATAAATAAAATTTTTAAAAAATTGTTTTTAATTTAAAATAAAAAGCCTATTTCATCTGCTATGGTATAACTACATCTTTTTTTAAAACTGCTTATTCTGGCTTAGTACATCTCTTACCATTTTGCACTGCTTTTGCATCCTTCTGTTTTAGACATGTCCCTGGGAAACAGCGCGTAGCCATGGTCAGAACAGCCAGGCTCCTGCAGGGCAGGTTTTTGCTTTGTTTTCAGTTTAGTGCACTGGGCATGTTGCCCCCTAGTGTCCCAGGTTAGATGCGGGGGTAGGGGGGTCTCCAGCCTGTCCTGCTTCGGCCCCAGGCTTTTCACGTTCCTCTCCCCCAGATTCTGGTCGCCCATGCAGCCCAGGCAACGAGGGGATTCGGAGATGAGGATTTGGGCGATTTAGGCTTTCTTAGAGGTTCTGACCTCTGTCTATTTTCCTAACTTTTAGTCTCCCGTCACCCGTGCTTAAATTTTTACTGTATTCTTTGCACTTTACCTAGCATCTGTAGCCGCTCCATCCAGGGAGGGATCTCTGCAGAGCTAGCTGGAATCCAGAAATGGAAGGGTTGAACGCCACTTCCCCATCTGTCGAGATGATTTTATTGTTTTCTCCGTTACTCTGCTAACTTTGTGAGTTATAGTGCTATGTTTTCTAAGGTTCACTTGTCTTTGCATTCTCAGGATAAACTCATTTGTTCATAATGTATTGTCTTTTTCTTTTTTGAAAATATATTACTGCATTTGACTTGTAATTCCTTCATTAAGAACCTTGGCACATCTAATTATAAAGGAGATTATCTCATGTATTTTTACATACTGTCCTCAAGTTTGTGCAAGCAAAATCATACTGAAATTTTTCCTCTGGGTGTTTTGAAGATTATCTTCTGATGCTCTGTTTGCTGATGGAAATGTGCTTTCAGTCCAAATACCATTCTTTTCTCTTTGGTACCTTTTAAGATTTTGTCTTTCCTGCTATTCCATTTCATAGAACATTGTCGAGGTTTACAGCTTTTGTTTCCTACTTAGGAATTGGTGTGTTCCTTCAAACTGTGGTCTCAATGCCTTTACTTCAGGGACATTCTCAACCATTAATTTCTTTATGTATCCCTCTCTACTCATTTCTCTATTCTCTCCTTCTTGGATGTCTACTAGCCTGTGGAGGAACTTCCCATTCTGCCCTCCATGTCTGTCTTCCCTCTTTCTTCCCTTTCATTTTTCTTTCTTTTCTTTCTTTCTTTCTTTCTTTCTTTCTTTCTTTCTTTCTTTCTTTCTTTCTTTCTTTCTTTCTTTCTTTCTTTCTTTCTTTCTTTCTTTCCTTCCTTCCTTCCTTCCTTCTTTCCTTCTTTCCTTCTCTCTCTCTTTCTCTCTCTCTCTCTCTCTCAGTGCTGTGCTATGGATTATCTTCCGAGGTTCATCTTCCAAGTCACCGGTTTTCTCTCTAGCTATGTTCAGTCTATTGTTAAACCATCCATTTTTTCATTTATTTGGTCATTTCTAGAATGTCAAGTATATTTAGTTCTTTTTCACATATTTGTTTTAAAAATAATTCCCTGTTCCTGCCTTAGAGATCCTGTGCCCGCCTTTCTTTCTTTCTTTCTTTGACGGCTTTAGACACACTTATGTTACTGTGCCCTTCAGCTTATTCTTTTTCCTGTCATCCCGGGAGGGACCTCTGCTGGGACTGCCCTGCCGGTTGGCTGCTCTCCTGGGCTGCACATTGAGCTTCTCAGTCCGGGCCCGCGTAGGTTGCCGTGGCCCTCGGTCAGCCTTCCTGGGAGTTTCCGAGGTTAGGGCACCTGCACCGTGCGGCGGTATGGCTTCAGCATGGGTGTGGGATTCTGATTTCTCGTGGGTGGGTTTCCCACCCATGGCCCTGGATAAGAGGGCAGCTTCCCTGCAGGCCTCTCAGGTGCCGTTTTCCTAGTCCCCACCTCCCAGCTGGGACAGAGCCTCAGGGCGCCTTCAGCAGCTCAGCTGGCTCTGGCCTCACTTGGACATCAAAGCCCTGGCCCCTAAGGCCTGCATCCTGTCCCAACAGTTTCCTGGGTCACGTGGCTCCGGCCCAAACACTTGACTTGACTTGACTTGGTGTTTTCTCTTGATTCCCATACCTAGAATCTTTTATGCGCCCTTAAATAGGCGTGTGTTTAAAGAGAGAGCAGGGCCTCCCCGGGCAGCTCAGTCGCCCCCCTGCCCCGGTGGGCTAGCCCTGGAAGGGTCGGGGTGCGCCTGCCCCTTCCCCAGCCTCCCGCGTGCTCGAGCCCTGTGCTCAGTGCCCTGCCCTGCCCTGCCCAGGAGTCCCGCAAGCTGCCCCTTCCTGCCGGTCTCTCTTGCTGTGGGACCCCTGTGAGGTCCATTTCCTTGGCCGGCTGAGGTCCGGCCCCGGGCCGAGGGGCCCTGCTGCTGCGGGCTCACACAGTCTCCCCGTCTTAGGCTCGGCGCCCCCCGTTCCTGCCCCGGACCTCCTCATGCAGATCAAACAGGAGGGCGAGCTCCAGCTCCAGGAGCAGCATGCTCTGGGGGTCGAGGCTTGGGCAGCCAGCCAGCCAGACATCGGGGAGGAGCCATGGGGCCTTGGCCAGCTGGATTCCGGAGCGGGAGACGTCTCTACAGATGCCGCCTCTGGTGAGTGGCGCAGACGGGGAGCAGACACCGGGACGGAGAGGCAGCGCGGGGCAGCCATGGTGGGTGGAGTTCCTGGAAGCCCGCAAGGTGCGAGCGGCAGACTCTTAAGCATCTGGCCCGGCCAGCTCCGAAGTTCCCCCGCCTTGAGACGGGGCCTGCACCGAAGGGCACCTGTTGATCCCTCTGGTTCGGTGATGCTCTTGTCCTGGTATTTCTCTGCCTCACCCGCGTTAGCCGCACTTGTGTTCTCTTCCCTGGCATTGGGTGTTTAGGCCACCAGTTGCCTCGTACTGCGGAGGAGCAGCATGAAATGAGTTGGTGACGTGTGGGCCTCCTGGTGCCTCCTCCCAGAGGGGAGCAAAAGAAACCCGGGTTCGGGAGTGGTGCGGGCGCAGTGCCCGTGCAGAAAGCCCGGGCTGGGGCCTGGGGCCTGCCCGCCCGGCCCGCCCTGCGGGGTTTTCTGCCGCTTCTGTTCTCTGACCCGCCGGCTCTGGTCTCTCCGTTGCAGGCGTCCACTCCAGCTTCGCAACCACGATCCCACCCACTTCCTGGCAGGCGGATCTCCCGCCCCACCACCCCTCCTCCGCGTGCTCAGACGGGACCCTGAAGCTCAACACGGCAGCCTCCACGGAAGGTACGGGTGGCAGAGGGAGGCTGCCGCAGCCTGGGCCTCGCCCTCACTTGTGAGCTGCCCTGACCTGGCGGCCCGCGGGTGCTTAGGTGTCTGGGGTGTTCGGGCTCGGCATCTGCGCTTTATCTCCATCAGGTGCTGAGGCCTGGTCAGCCTCCCGTGAGCATGTCCGTGTTCCCAGAGTTCTTTTCTCATGCTAACCAGTCAGTCCTCATAAGCCGATCCTCTGAGAGGACGTACCTCCAGCCCAGACGCAGAGTGTGGCTCCTCTCTGGCATGGAGACAGCCACACTGGGCCAGAGCAATTCTTAGATGTCGGCAGTACCAGACGCGGGCGTCTGAAGGCCGGAACTGGGGAGAAAACTCTCAAATTTATGTTTTCTATTTACTTCTGTTTTGAAGACCCATTATCTGTTACTTTAATAATTTCTGTTATATTTTAGCATTCCAAAAATGTGCTGAAAGCCTACATCCCTGATGTAAAACTTCAGGAAGTGAAATTCAAGTACATTTACATCAAATCACATTTTTACTTTTTCACTAATATTTTTACCATTAGCTGGCTGGCCCTGCGTACTGGATGCTTGCCGCATGCCAAATAGCATGCGCGGTGCCCTCGGACACGTTATCTGGCGTAACCCCCATGTGCCCTGCCACTAGGATGTTCACAGATGTGCTGCTGGTTAAGAAGTTATCCTGCAGCCCGCAGCTGGTCTATGGGAATCGGCGGGGCCACCTCAGATCCACCTGAGGCCCAGCCCAGTGCCTTTGCCCCCCTGGTACATTGTCACTGGTGGTCAGAGTGCCTTCCCCCCGGTAATTCTTGATTAGTCTTGGCGGCCAATGCAGACGTGGAACGCGGTGAGCAGCCGCGGAGGTTGCTTTATGTGCAGTGAAGGCTCTCGAACAGGGGTGTCCTCACGCAGGGTTTGACGCGGCCACCTGACCCTAGGGCACTCTGCGGAGCTGGGCCCTGCCGCCAGGAGACCGGGGCCCGGCGAGCTGCGGGTAGAGGGGCCACTGAATCTCCCTATGAACTCTTGGATCTTCAGTCTATGCGGGCGAGGGGACAGAGTGATACCTGGTCTTTCTGTCTTTCTCAGCAGATGTAAAAATTGTGATCAAAACCGAAGTCCAGGAAGAGGAGGTGGTGGCTACCCCAGTGCACCCTACTGACCTCGAGGCCCATGGGACCCTGTTCGGACCAGGCCAAGCCACAAGGTTCTTTCCTAGCCCTGTCCAGGAAGGCGCCTGGGAGAGCCAGGGCAGCTCCTTCCCCACCCAGGACCCCGTGCTGGGGCTCCGGGAGCCCGCCCGGCCGGAGCGGGACCTGGGGGAGCCCAGCCCCGCCGTGGCCCAGGACGAGACCCCTCCAGGGGACTGGCTCCTTGGGGGGGTCCGGTGGGGCTGGAATTTCAGGTGTAAGCCTCCTGTGGGTCTGAACCCGAGGACTGGGCCTGAGGGGCTGCCCTACTCCTCTCCTGACAATGGAGAGGCTGTGCTGGACCCAGGCCAGGCCCCGAGGCCCTTCAATGACCCCTGTAAATACCCGGGCCGGACCAAGGGCTTTGGCCACAAGCCAGGCCTGAAGAAGCACCCGGCGGCGCCCCCGGGGGGCCGGCCCTTCACCTGTGCCACGTGCGGGAAGAGCTTCCAGCTGCAGGTGAGCCTGAGCGCGCACCAGCGCAGCTGCGGGCTGCCCGATGGGGCGGCGGGGGCGGCGGGGTCCGCACGGGACGGCAGCGCCCTGCGGTGCGGGGAGTGCGGGCGCTGCTTCACGCGGCCAGCCCACCTCATCCGGCACCGCATGCTGCACACGGGCGAGCGGCCTTTCCCGTGCACGGAGTGTGAGAAGCGATTCACTGAGCGCTCCAAGCTCATCGACCACTACCGAACCCACACGGGCGTGCGGCCCTTCACCTGCACCGTCTGCGGCAAGAGCTTCATCCGCAAGGACCACCTCCGCAAGCACCAGCGCAACCACGCGGCGGGCGGCAAGGGCCCGGTCCGCGGCCAGCCGCTGCCGCCCCTCCCGGCCGGTCCCCCGGACCCCTTCAAGAGCCCTGCCTCCAAAGGACCCTTGGCCACCACAGACCTTGTGACCGACTGGACTTGTGGCCTGAGTGTCCTGGGACCCACCGATGGCGGGGACCTATGAGGCCCCCCAGAATGGCCAGGGCCGCCTCAGCCCTCCCGCCCCTCCGGCGGCAAGTGTAGAAAGTCCCGTTTCCAGACGCCGGGGCGTGGCAGGCGCACAGGCGGGAGTCAAGTCTGGGAGACCAAACCCCCAAGTTGCTGAACTGGTCACTGGAGAAAGAGAAACTGTCAAACAATACGGCTTCCACCTCTGAACAAAGTAGAACTCTCTGATTGTGAAACTGAGCACCATAGAATTTTAAGTAATTTAATTATGAACCCCCCCTTTTTTTTTTTAATTCTTGAAGAAGCTGGAAAATAGTCGTAGTGCCAGTTTAAACTTTATTGCATTATTCTGGTTTCTGAAGCGTGTTTATGCTGTGTGCTTACCAAGTCTGATGGTGTGCGCGCGGGAGGTCAGTGAAGCAGGGGACTCGGTGGGGAGGGACCTGGGCCCCCTGCCCCGCTGTCTCCCGGGGATGGGATGGCCTTAGCCGGAGTCCTGGGCGAGTTGAGACCGCGCGCTGACAGGGGCTGGGCCGGGCTGGGCCTGGGGCTACACACCGCCTGGAACTCCGGCCAGCCAGGGGCTGGCCCTTCTGTTTCCCTGTTACGGGTCACCAGCCACCCCAGCGCAAGAGAGCTGGATGGTGTTGCCCCGTTGTGTGGCCCCTGGGCCGTGGAAAGGGGGGTCGTCTGAAAGGCAGGGCCAGGGCAGCACGTGCCGTCACATCTGGGGACCTGTGGGGCCGTGAGCAAAGCCTGGCTTCCGGCCGCTTCCCACTCGCATGAGATGCTTCTGTGTCCTCTTTGTGTAGTGTGTTTTCATTGTCAAAATGCTCTCACGTTGCATCTCCTGTGATTGTTACCGTGACCTTGTGAAATACACAGGGCGGGTCTTCTTTCCTGTTAGAGACGAGGAAATAGATTACTCAAAGGGGACACATCCCAGCCTGGCAGCACGGGGGCTGCTGGGCGCCCGCAGTGGGAACAGGCCTCAGGTTAGACGCGGCTGCCCTCCCAGAACCTCGGCTGGGCAAGGAAAGCTTTTCGCTTGGGGCTCTCTAGAAGATTCGTCCCATCTGTGCAGGAGCAAAACTGTCAGGCCTCAGGCTCCGGCTGAGGCCGGGCCTCCCGGGTGTGCGCGCCCCCAGCAGGCCCCAGAGGCTGGGCCCGGGGGCGCCTGCTCCTTCTCTCCTGGCTTCCTGACGTGGAGGCAGGCGCCGTTCTGGGCCTCCTGATTGAACCGCCCTGCTGTCCCCGCCACACAAGTAACCGTTCCTGTTTTGTCGAAGCCGCCGCTGGCCGCTCGTCCACAGCGGGCAGCCTGTCCCCCCAGCAGAGGGGAGGCCGGGGCTGCCGTTCACTCAGCTCCCCCACGTGTACTTTTGTTAGGCAATAGACTAGTTAAGAAAATTGTTCCTATGTACTGTATATTTTGTACCTGTTTACACCTCTAATTGATATAACTGATATTTTGAAAAAACCAATGAGGAAACTCCATGTCAAAATAAAACCTAACCAGCACCGAGGCGGTTTGGTGGGCTCCGTTCTTAGACCTGCGTATCTGGGACCGACGCCCCTCAATGCGCCCCCAAGGCTGGGTGGTCAGCTCCTAGCACCCACCCTGGGGCACGTGGTCACCCTGGACCCAGGGAAGCGACAGTCCCTAAGAGGCAGGAATGGAAGATTCCAGAGAAGTTTGACTCAGTGGAGGTAAACTGACATTTGGAGGGGAAATCAAAACACATTTATCCCTTTGCTTCAGTAGATAAACATGGCTTATGTAATTTGGTCTTATGTAATTCGATGGGATGCACATGAGGATGGGAAGTTCAAAGGAAAAGTACAGAACATGAAAGCAAAGCGGATGCTGGATGTTTTCTCTTTGCATCTTCTCCCGGCTGGGCCAGCGCGAGGAAAGGACGGTGATGCCTTGCAGTCGTGTCCGTGGTCTTGGGGTGGAGCCCGCCCCATGACGTCAGGCCCGGGCTGACACCCACGTCCCAGCCACCCAGAGTTAATGGCTGTGAGCCCGGCCCGCGTGCCTTCTCTCCCTCTCACACCTGCATACTCTCCATGTAGGAACCCCTGACCAGTTCGTTGTTCACCACGCAGGTGACACAGAAGCTCCTGGCCTGGCTACTCTCTCCAAGACAACATGGGAGGGGAGGGTTCGGACAGGGAAGGACTTGAGTTCAGTCTTGGGCATCCAGAAGCGGGGGAGCCCAACACTGCTCCCAACTCCTGAGCACCCTGGCTCTGAACCCACTGCTCTGAAGTGCCCTGCTTAGGCCAAAGCACAGCAGTCCCTCCGCAAGTTAAGTTTCCGATTGGTGCTGTGACACATTACCGCAAGCTCTGTCCCACGCTGACGCAGATTTATCCTGCAATCCAGAGGTCAGAAGTCCAAAATGAGCCTCAAGGAGCCAAAATCAAGGCGTCGGCGAGGCTGGCTCCTTGGAGACCCCAGGGGAGAATCTTTGCCCCTTTCAACTTGCAGAGGCGCCTGCACTTAGCATGCGGTGTGTGACCCTCGTGAGAGGACGCCATCCTTGTCCTCGTCCCCTGCAATACCTCTTGCATCTCACCCTCCAGGTGAACCAAAGTGCCTGCCCTTCCCTGAGCCCCGTGCTGTTCCAGGTATCTGCACCCGTTCCGTTGCATACAACATCCCCCGCCCCTCGCCCCTGGGGCGCTCCTTGCCCCTTAGTGCCACCCAGCTGCGCCCAGTCTCTGCAGGTAGGACGGACGCCTCCCTCGTTCCTCCACAGGCCCTTGCTCGGACGCCTTCTGTCTTGTCAGACTCCCCAACTTTGTATACAACACGTTCCTGGAAATGCGTGCAAAGGTGTATGCGTAGAATGAGGCAGCAGACTCACAGACTGCAGGATGGCTTTGTTCCCTGACAGCTATAAAAATGAAGTTCCTCATTTGGCATAATTGTCAAACCTTGAGTGTTGTACAGTTTATAAATGAGTATTTAAAAATATTAAAAGCAAAATTTAGGCATAAAATACAGTTAAATTGTATGTATTTACATACATACTCCTGTCTTTAAAATTTTTTTGGTCAAAAAGTAAAAAATGCATATGTCATGGGTTGTATACCCTGAACACACTCCTGATAAAAATATCTAGAAATTCCAAATGGGCTATAATAAGCATACTAAATAAAGAGCTAAAATAGAAAGGAACACAGGGAAATTCTCGTGGGCCAGAAATGAAGACGAAACTGAACACCCACTATTAAGTGTTCAAGGAGATGTTGCACCTACCTGGAGCGGGGTGAGGAGAAGGGCACATAGGTCTCGGGCCCCTGAAGGTAAGAAGTTGGAACCGATGCGCCTCTGGATAAAATCCCTTGAAGGCTTGGTCTTCAGAAAATACATAGTTCAGTAAAAATGCATCCCAACACCAAAAGACGTATCGTCGGAAAGTGGAGGCTAAGACATGCAAGAGGTGTACTGGGGAATGGTGCCTATGAAAGGTAAAAGGAGGAGGAAGCAGGGTTTGCAGGCAAAGGCTCAGACCGGGATGTGGATGCAGCATCTGGGAAGGGAAAGGAGAAGACGCGGGTCTGGGTCGCAGGAACAACACGAGCAGCTCTGACAGAGTTTCAGCCAGCCGAACACCGGGCCTAGAGCAAACACTGCCCGTGAGAGGAATCTTGTGCTGGGCTACAATGACCAGGCCTAAGACCCTACCCACTCACTGGGCTGGGTGGGGCTGCCCAAGAAAAGTGTGGCCTTAGCTGAAAGCTGAGGCATTTCCTGAAGGCGTTAATAACTGGAACTGTCGAGTCACTCCTTATAGCTGAAGGGTAAGTCCTTGACTGGAGATCTGAGTGGCCTAACTCCACGGCTGCCATGATGACAAAAAGCTTATCTGTCTCAGGCTGGGCCCTGGGCGATAAGAGTGGAGGGGACAGTATCTTTCTTGAAAATCCCAAACCACAGCCACTACCTCACGGAGGCTGGGATTCAAATGCACATTGCCCACAGGGCTGATCCATTGACATAAGACCTGGAGTTGGGCCAATGCTTGCACTTGAGGTTTCTGGCCGGAGGGAGCTGGGAAGCTGGAGGAACTGTCCCACAATGCAGACCACAAGCCTGGCTCGACACACGCTCACAGCCAGAAACTGCGCAACCCGCAGGGAAGTAGTCCACCATCAGCGAGAACACAACAAACAGCAGGATCGACAATCCAAGAGGCTGGATTCATGTAATCATCCAAAATGGAACAGAGCCATGATCAGTCTCATGAGGTATAAAACGAACAGGGCAGAAAGTGGAAGAAGCATGAAAAAAGCATGGTGAATAGAAATCAGCAAATCTTAAGAAAAATCAAGATACTATTAAAAAAAGAATTCCTAAAAATATAATGGTCACTGAAATTTTAAAAAACTCAGTGGACTGTTTAAACAGCAGACCTAAACAGAGATAAAAAGTCAGACACCGCTGGGAAAAAAGTTAACTACATGAAAGATGAGGAAAGTACACAGAATGAAGGACAGACAGAAAAACAAAGTCTGGAAACATGACACGTTAAGAGTGTAGGCTAGAAACACCTACCATACATCTCATCAGATTTTCATACCTAGAAAGAGATAATGAAATTAGGAGAAAATAAATATTTTTAAAAGAATAGTTGACAATCTGCAAGAATTGATGATAGAGCCCTGGCTCGTGTGGCTCAGTGGATTAAGCATCAGCCTATGCACCAAAAGGTTGCCGGTTTGATTCCCAGTCAGGGTACATGCCCAGGTTGCAGGCCAGGTCCCTAGTAGGGGGTGTGCGAGAGGCAACCAATCAATGTTTCTCTCCCTCTTTTTCTCCCTCCCTCCCCTCTTTCTATGAATAAATAAAATCTTAATAAAATTATATAAAAAATAAAATTGATGAAAGACATAAAAATAAAATCCTCAAATTCAAAAGAAAATGGTTGGCATCAAAGGAAAAGCTCTTTGATTGACAATAGACGTCTATGATTAAAAAGAAGTCAGAAGACAACGGACCAACACCTACAAAGCGGTGAGGGAAGACAACTCAACCCCAATTTCATACCTTGATCGGTTACCACACACAAACAAAACCAAATGAAGACATTTTGGTAAATAAAAACCGAGGATGTACCATTCACTGGAACACTACTGAGGACTACCGTATGGGAATAAGGAAGGAGGACTGAAGGAGGACAGTCAGCAAAAAAATGTTAGTGAACATGGGTAAATCTAACATGCGTGGACTCCGTAAGGCAATAATAAAGACAAGTTCAGGGGACGCAACACAATGGAACTAAAATACTCGACACCAATCACAGGTTAGAAGGATGGGGCATGATGTCAACCAAAGCCTCTCAGGGTCCTTGTGATTTCAAGGGACCGGCAGAAATACCGATGCCATTTAAACACTGTAACTCAAACACACACACTTAAAATGTTTGTCATGGCCACTAAGGGAAGAGAAGCAGAGCAGCTCCCAGCAGAGGAGCGAAGGGAATAAAGAAAACCCGACTAACCCAGGAGAAGGTAGGAAAAGGAGGAAAGGAGGAAAATTATGGCAAATAAAGATCACAAAGTAAGATTTAAAATCCAAATAGATCTGTATTCACCATAAGTGGGAAGAAAATAAGCTCTCCAGCCAAAAGACATTGTCAGGTTATCAAACTAACCTGGAAACTCAGGTCTGTACTTTGACGCTTCAGTGAGCAACACAAGGTCACGGTGACAGGGCACAACCCTGAAGACACTAAAGCCACGGACTCGTACACTTTACATGGGCCACTTATGCTGCGGGAAGTAGAGTCCAGTAAAGATGCGATTTATTAAAAGCCAAAAAAAATCGATTCTCGATCAAAGACCTAACCGTGAAAAAGCGAACCTGTACAGGTTTTAGAATAAAATGTTGAGGACTATCCTTAAGGTATTGGGGGAAGAAAACAAAGAAACAAAGAAACAAAAAAAAGCAGGAAAAGCACAAACCCTAAAAAAGAAAAGTATTAGATTTGATTACATTTAAATATAAATATTGGTGCAATACCTACCAAGAACAATGTTGAGAAGAGACAGACTAGGAGAAGATTTTTGTCACGTGTACAATCGACAGCGCATTATGCAGCTTGTAGAAACATCAAATGGAAGCTAAGACCAGAACAAGGTGGGGCAGATAGCCTGTGGTAAGGCTAATAATGCACCGCAGGTGAGGTGGTAGAATTCGTGTGAAGTAGGCTATAAAAATTAAAGATGTATATTGTAAAACTTAGGCCAACCATTAAAAATGAGGTGTAACGAACAAGCGAATGGTCAAAAGTAGCATTATTTTTAAAATAATTCAAAAAAAAAAATCATCGAACACCTGGAACACAGGAAAAACTTCTAGTAAGATGTCAGAGTTAAGCGCAATCACAGCATTAATTACATTAAGGATTTGGTGATGAGACTAATATCCAGAATGCTTTTTTAAAAACACCAATAAACCAATAAGAGAAATATTGGCGAAGGCTATGAAGAGGAAGTTCGCCGAGGAAGAAACCGAGCGCCTAGTAAATGCAAAAAGACGTTCAAATTCCTTAATAATCAGGGAAACACAACATGGGTATTGAAGAAAGTCCTGGGCTGCTGCCACACAGTCCTTGTGCTGCCGTGGCTACTGAGTCCCTTGTCAGGGAGTGTGGGCAGAGATGTGAAAACAGGACCCCACGCACTGCTGATGGAGTGTCACCAGGCACCCTCCCGCTGGTGAGCAGTCTGGGGAGCCCAGGGAAGGTGGGGGCGCTCTGGCCGCCCACCGCGCGTGTCTTGCACGGTGCGCAGGGAGACACTAGGCAGGTTTTCGGTGCAGCCCGCCTGTCTCCATGCTTCAGGGACAGGGGACGTCCACTGGAGCTTTCTTATTCAATGAAATACTATATAGTGGTTAAAATGAATCAACCGGATATGCTTGTTTACACACGACTTGTACTTCAAAAACAGCCAGGAATGAACGCAAAAAAGCAAGTTCCAACAGGGTCTGGACTGAACTACATCACTCACACAAAATTGTAAGATACCGAAGGCGGTGGAATGCACTGTTTACTGATAGAGGGTGGGAAAAGCAGCAAGACGAGGGGGAAATCTGACCTCTGGGAAGGTAAGGGACCGGGTGGCACTGGTCTTATCTCTGTCCATAAGTTTCCACTTTTAAAGAGACAGCTAACGCAAAAGCACAGCGTCCCTCCCACTCCTGCTGCCTCCACGCAGCTCACCCCTGACCTCCCCGGCGTCCCATTAGGTGAACAAATATATTCTACTCCCTGCCCCCGGCCCCTTTAAGTTAGTTCCAGTTGGATTTTCACCACTTGGAAATAGAAGGCCTGCCTATACGTTTCTTTCTTTCTTTCTTTCTTTCTTTTTTTTTCATTTCATTTTCAGTTCTTGCCACCTTGTAAGTAGGCATTCCATCAATATGTGAGTGAACCTGTCCAGGTTAAAGGAACCGCCACCTCCAAGCTCTACCATGCCTTTGGGGACATTTCTCGCGAGTAGAAAGAGCATTCACAGAGGGGACCTAGACTGCAGCTCAGGGTAAACAAGTCACTTCCCACTCGGCCTCAGTTTCCTTCCAAACGACGGGTCTGGACCCTGCGGGCCCCAGCACTTTATGATTCTCGGAATTCTGTCCTTTCAGGTCACAAACAACACTCCGGCATTTCACAAAAGCACTCTACCCCCCGGCTACCCTTGGAACCACAGCCCGCTTCCCTGGAACCCGGGCTGCACAGAGCTGGTCACATGAACTGGGGCTGTCTTTGGTGTGACGGGTTTCTTAGATCCCTTTGTGAGCGCAGGTTTGAAAGGGTTCTGGGTTTGAGAGGAGCAGGGGATCTGGCGGGGGAAGGCTGTCGGAGCCAATCAAGCCGCCTCCAGACCCCACCACGTCGCCCGGGCTGCGCGCTCTTATTTCTCCTCTGCGCTCCCGCCTCCCGGTCTCGCCCTAGGGTGCCGGGCAGGCGAGGACCCCAGGTGAGAGGCCCGGGGGGCCCGAGGGTGGAAGGCCCGGGAGGTTCGGCCGGGGCTGCACGACGGGCTGGCCCGGGGCTCAGGGCGTGTCCGTCGCCGCCAGGCTGCTCGCTCGACACTGTTCGCTCCTACCGGCTGTAGATGGAGCTGTCTGGGTTCCTGCAGCCTCCGACGAGCCTCGGAGTGTTTCTCTTTAAACGGCCTGAGAGGGACATGCCTCCCAGGATGCAGTTTGTATCAACATGGCAGCTGCGGTGCAGCTCCCCTGCTGAAGAGGCGCCGGGACGGCAGCGCAGCTCGCAGCCGGGGCCGGGGCCGGAGCCGGGGTCGCCGCCGCGGCCGCAGAGGGGCCGCGCGCGGGCCGGGGGCCGCTGCTGAGGGCCGGGGCCCAGTTCGCGGCCGGGGCGCAGCCTGCCGGGCCGCCCGCACCGCCGCGCGCCCCGCTCCGACGCCGCCGCCGGTCTCGGCCGCTCCGTCCCAGCCCGCTCCGCACGCCCTGAGCAGGCCGGGCCCGACGGCCGCGCGAGCCCGGGCGGGGGAGGCAGGCCGGGCGGGCGGGCGGCGCCCGCGGAGAGGCCGGGGCCGGCCTGCGTGGGGCCGCGCGGCGGCGGCGGCGGCTCCCGGCCGGGCCGGACAGCGCAGGGCCATGGCCGAGGCGGTGAGGGCGGCCCGCGCGCGCACGGACGCGCGGACTCGGGGCCCCGGGGACGGCCTGCGCGTCTCGGGCTCGGCGGCCCGGCCTGGGGTCTCGGTAAGGGACAGAAACGTTGCGACGTTGGGGGCGGGGGGGTTGGAGGGCTCGCGCGCCTCTGAACAGGAGGGGGGGCTGCGGGACGGGAGCGGGGCCCAGGAGCCGGCCGCCGTCCGGGCGAGGCTGCGGGGACGCGCCTGGCCTGGCGCGCACGCGGGCCGGCGGTGGGCGCCGGGGCGGCGCGCCTCGCTCCCTGCGGAGCCGGCGTTGCGTCCGTCGGGGTTGCCGCCGCACGTTTTCCGCAGAGCTCGGCCCCGCGGAGCCTCCCGCGGCCGGAGCGCGGCGCTGACGCGGCTCTCCCCATTTCGCAGAGCGGAGACACTGAGGCACAGACACCTGGCGGCGACCTGCCCTGCCTGCCCCAAGGTCACGTAGCGAGTCATCCGTGGCTCGGTGCCCGCGTCCCCAAAAATGCCTGCCTCCCGGGCTGCGGGCCTGGACGGGGTGGGGGCGGCTCTGGCGGCGGCCTCCCCTGACTTACAGGCCTGGGCCGGGTGCGCGGTGGATGCGGCCCGTCGGGGTGGGGGAGGGGTGACGGCCGGGTGGGAGGCCCGGCAGCGCCCTGCCGAGCGTCGCCACCGTGGGGAGCTGGTGACCCTCGGACTCGGCATCTCGGCCTCTAGCCTCTGCGTGTGGAGGGCCCCCGGACGAACTTTGGGCGTCTAGACGGATGGGGTCTGGGGAGCGAGCTCCCGAGGGTTTGGCGGCCGCCGTGCCTCTTCAGTGGGCCGTTCTTAAACATCTGTCTGAAAACCTCCCCGAGACCTGCTCTTGGCGATGCAGCAGCCGTACTGGGAGGATTGCTGCAGCGGAGGCAGTGCCCCTGAGCCTCAGTTTCCTGTTGTGCACAGGAAGGGGTCGGGAGATGGGACTTTCTAAAGAGCCTCTCAGTTCTTAAATAACAATTATTATTATTTATTATTATCATCGTCTCTTAGAGAAATAAAGTAAAATGAAGGTTTTTAAATGTCTGCCTCCAGGCTTAGGTCTGCAGGGCCCTACATAATTCTGGGTGAACCACACTGGGTCATACCAAAAAAAAAAAAAAAAAAAAAGCACAGCTCTCTTTATAAATCAGATACGTTGGCTGTGCATTTTTCTGCTAGTACGGCATGAATCCTGAAGACCCCATCCGCTTAGGAGACATGGGGTAGGGAGGGACAGTTGAATCCTCTAAATTACAGTTCAGAAGAATTCTATCCCCCCACCGCCAGGAGTTGGAGAATACAGCTTATTAATCTTAGATATAATATTTACATCCTGCCCTGGGGCCACTTCTGTCTGCTGAGGGTAACGTAAAGCCATTATGAAATGATAGTAAGGGGCTTTTCTTTGGGGGCGGGGGAGGGGACCTGCTCCTGTGGCCCCCTCATCCCTCCATAGTCCTCCACATCCGGAAATGGAGGGAGACAGTCTAATAATAGAAAGCGAAGAAACGGTATTTTCCTTTGAGCTCTGATTAGACTAGTTGGTAAAGATGTCTTACTGTGCTGGCGTTATTTACTGTACTGGAGCCTGTTTTCATTGTTCCCGTTAAACCCCTGAATTACTCAGGGAGACTAACTTGGCCCTAGGGGATTTTCCCTTCTTCCGACTAGTTGTGGGCAAATACCCTAATCCCTTCTGAGGAGGGGGCCGCCATGGGCCTATTGTGTTGCGTTACCCTGACTCTGAGGTTCCCCTCGCAGAGGGCAGCCCAGTCTTGCCCTCACCTGGGGAGAGTTGAGAGGCGGCTTCGTTGTTGACGAGCCTTCAGGTTTAGGGATCTGCGAACCCCTTGACAGTGTTTGCAGAATTTTGTGTATGTGCCCATGTGAATTTTTTTTGGAGGGGAAGAATTCATAACTTCCACCAGGTCTTCAAAGGGAACCCCAACCCCAGCTTTACGTGGAAATGTCTTTTCCGGGCAGGGCCTTCCACCTCCCCGACGATAGAACCTCGCACAGATCTTCGTTTAATCTCCGAGCCTCTGAATGTTCGAGGGCAAAGGGATTCAGGGCACCCATCGCTGCCTCCATTGACAGAGGAGGCAGGGAAGTGACCTGCAGAGGGAGCTGAAACCTGGGCCCAGGAACCAGACCACTTTTGTGACCTTGGGCAGTTACTTAACTAGTCCTGCCTTGGTGTCTTCGTGTACTGTGTGTGGATGACAATTCTAGTCGTCTCTATTTCACAGGGTTTCATGAAGATTAAATGAGATAACCCTTTAAAAACGGTTAGCAGAGTTCATGGCACATAAATGCCGAATAATTAATTGTCATCTATCTCCGGCTAATTAGTGGGCACATCTGGTTAGCTCTACAGGTGTTATATCCCACTACCTCAAAATTCTTTTGCCTCAGTAGTCTTAAGTCTTTAATTCTTGGCTTAAAAATGTAACAGTGTCTTAGTTAAGAGACCCATAAGTGTATGAGTGAATGAAGAAAAGAAAAAAGGTGATAGAAATATAAGTAAGTTTAGATGATCTTTGGTAAAAGACCGAAGAAACATCATTGTTTACCCAAATAATTTTTTCTCATAATGCAACAGTTTGTACTGTTCATTCATTCAGCAGCCATTTATTGAGCACATAGTGTACATCAGACTGGACACAAGGGATATGTTCATGTTCAAACAAAGAAAATGGGAATTTCGGTTACTTTAAAGATCCCTGGTATATGCCACTGCGTCAGTGGCACTTGGATTCATTGAAGGGAGCTGATGAGACAGGCAGACGTTGTTATAGGAGAAATTCTGTTGAGTTTCAGTGAAGGTTTTGGTTGTCTGGAGAGGGAAATGCGGAACTCTTCACGTTCTGCAGTTGTTGGCTTCACGTCCCCAGTGACAACAGAATTCTCTCAGCATGGTTGTATCAAGGTGCGGTGCGGGGACAGTGAGACTAACTGAAACCCCCAAAAGAGTCAGTCAGTATGTGGGCTCTAGTCCCCTCTGATGTTGACCTGACTCATAAAACCTCAGCTCTGCCTCCGGCCCTTCTGAACCTCTTTTCCCCATTCCCACCTCACAGCCCTTGGGAGGAGCCCAGGCCATGCTGAGCGCCGTCCGCCCAGGGGGCCTCCCGTGGGAGCCCTGAACTGCGGAGCCCGCACCGGCGTCTCCCCGCTCCTTGCTCAGGACAGAAGCCGGCTGGGCGGGCCCGGACGGCCATCCAGCCTCTCCAGCAGGGGCTGGCCCATACAGCTATGTCCCAGCCAGCCCACACCACAGAACCCGGAGGAATTTTATTGATGAGTCAGCAGTCCAGCTTTTATCAGCATTGGGGAAACCTGAGGTCATAGTGTGTGTCTTCCCTCTGGACACAGTGGGAGGAAGAACACAGGCACCATGGTGCCCAGTAATTGAAGGAGGAGCAGCGGGGCCAGAGGACCTACCTGTAAGCTAGGTTAGTTCACATCACCGATGCCCACCTGTGATCACCTCCCACCTTGCTGGGAGTCTGGGGACAGGGACAATGTCCCCAGCCTGGCACTGACAAAATTCTGCTCTGTTTTTCAGAGTTTTATTTTATTGAATACTCAGACAACTCAGTGAGGTAGCAGGGTGCGTCAGATTATACTCCCCACGTTAGGGACACAGAACAGAGGGGTCGAACGACTGGCCCAGGACCACACAGGCAGCAGTAGGTGGGCAAGGGCCTGAGAGCCAGGCGCTCTAGTTCAGGGCCGGCACCCTTTCTCCTCTCTGATGCCGCGACTCCTAAGGTGGTGCCCGTGAAGAAGGGGTTGGCTCTCTAAAGATCAGGAGGGGGCATGACCATCTTTTCTTTGTTGTTAATGGTTTCATAATTGATATCTGCGTGCTAGGCTCTCAAGATGCCCATCCACAGAAAACGTGGCTACCAATGCCCTTGTAATGTGGGCGCTTATCTGTGGCGTTTATATTGCCAGATGGAAACATGGCCTTCACTCCTGCCCTTTCCTTGACCACAGGTCCAGCAGCTCGACATGGAGACCCAGCGCTCATCGCCCCTGTCATTCCCCAACGTTCTGCCTGAAGAAACCCCGCGGCAGGCCCCTGCTGGACTCCCCCGGGAAGCCCTGTTCCAGTCCCGCGTTCTTCCCCCCAAAGAAGTTCCTTCTTTGTCTCCCTCCGTCCCCCGGCAAGGCTCCCGGCCCCTCACTCCCAAGCAAGAGACCTCTGTCCGGATGCAGCACACCCTCCAGAAGGGACCCTCACTCCTGTACCCTGCCGCCTCTGAGCAAGAGACGCAGCTCCAGGGCCCCTTGACTTCCCAGGAAGAGACCCCGTATCCAGCGCCAGCTGCTGCTGAACAAGAAATCTCACTGCTCTCTCACTCCACCCACCACCAAGAAGCCCCACTCCACTCCCCTGAAGTTCCCGAGAAAGACCCTCTCACCCTCTCCCCCACAGTTCCCGAGGCCGACATGGACCCCCTGCTCCAGAGCCCAGTTTCCCAAAAGGAGACCCCCTTCCACATCTCTTCTGCAGCCCAGAAGGACACGCCACTCCCGACGGCGGAGATCACCCGCTTGGCCGTGTGGGCTGCCGTCCAAGCGGTGGAGAGGAAACTGGAGGCCCAGGCCATGCGGCTGCTGACGCTGGAGGGGCGGACGGGGACAAATGAGAAAAAGATAGCCGACTGCGAGAAGACGGCCGTGGAGTTCGCGAACCACCTGGAGAGCAAGTGGGTCGTGCTGGGGACGCTGCTGCAAGAGTACGGGCTGCTGCAGAGGCGCCTGGAGAACATGGAGAATCTGCTGAAAAACAGAAATTTCTGGATCCTGCGGCTGCCCCCGGGCAGCAACGGAGAAGTCCCCAAGGTAACCCCATCTCCACTGGGGCTCCCAAGGAGTGATCCAAATTAGGAACGTGTTGTAGGAATTCAGTTAAGTGTAAAAGAAGGGGAAAGCAATGGTTGAAAAGGAAAAAAAAAAAAATATATATATATATATATATATATATAAAATGATATCCAGTCGTCAGCATTGCTTTACTAAACAGGACACGCCACAAATTATTTCTCCTGTTGATAAAAGCAGAAGTTAGTAGATCAGAGGAAGGTCCTAGTGATCAGGGAGTGTCAGTTTAGAAGGGCGTTCTGTCCATGATGTGAGAGAGGATGAGGAGGCAGAGCAAAGGCCCAGAGACAGAGAGGTACTGAGGCTTTTCCCGTCTGTCACCGTGAGTGCGACGCACCAGCCCACCACCGGGAGATAGAGAACTTGCCGAAATATTGTGGGGCTCTGTTGGGCTCAACGTGCTTTATCAGTTGACTTGTAAATCATATCAATGCCAGTAAAAATGTGCTCTGGAGAGAGATCCTAAAAAAAAAAAAAAAAACAACTAGAGAACATTAGGTTTTAACATTTTCCAGAAGATTCTGCAAGAACTTGAATGTGGACCAAATTTCGTAACGTTCCTTTGTGCCGCTGCGCCTTTCCCCGGCCTTTAGAAAAGAACTTGGGCTGTATTCTCAAGGCCAGCACTTGTCCAATTTTGTCATGTACGGGAATCACGTGGGGAGCTTACTAAGTGCAGAGTCTGATTTATGGGCCTAGCGTGGGGCCCGAGAGCCTGCGTTTTAAGCAAGTTCCCTGGTTGTGCTCCTGCTACTGGTGTGCACGCCATGCTGCACGGGAGTCGGGGGCTCTCCAGCTGGAGAGGAAAAGGACCAGGCAAGACAAGGTCCTTACTCTGTGTGGCCCAAGCCTGACCAGACCTCAGAGCTGTGCCTTTGGGCTTTCCCCACTCGCGTCTGCGGAAGAGGTGTTTGAGCTCAGTCCTGGGGTTGGGGTCATTTGTTTCCTTGGGATTTGGCAGCCAAAAACCTTGGTCTCAACCGAGCCTGTCATGTGGTTTCAGGTTCCCGTCACCTTCGATGACGTCGCTGTCCATTTCTCGGAGCAGGAGTGGGGGAACCTGTCCGAGTGGCAGAAGGAGCTGTACAAGAATGTGATGAGGGGCAACTACGAGTCTCTGGTCTCCATGGGTAAGGAGGGGGCTTCCCTCGCCAGGGCTGCCTTGCTCGACACCGGCCTGCGGTTCCGGGGGAGCCGGCCGCGTGCCGCGCCCCAGTGGTGCGGATAGCCGAGGACCGGGAGGCTGAGCGGTAGCGAGCGCGGCGGGTTAGAAGAGCGCTCTCTTCCGCTCCGCTCACCAGGGCAGCCCAGATCGGGACAGCTCTGCAGGGGGGCTCCCCTCCACGGAGAGGCCGCTGGGCGAAGGGAGGAGGCAGGCTCAGAGAGCAGGGTCTCCCGCCTTTATGTTATTTCCCCCCTGGACTCACATATATTTTTAAATTAGTTTGTCCAGCAAACTGATATTAAGCAGGTGTGAGGTGGTTTATACAAATCATGTCACCGAATCCTCACGCCTCTCCACAGGGGCGCTAGGACAGGGGCGGGCACTCCTGTTTTACTGTTCAGGTGACCAAACATTGGCATCTCTTGCGGGCTTACATCCCCTACGCTTCCGTCTCTCTTGTGAAGAGAGGAAGCTGGGACGTGGGGAGGTCCCGGGTCCCCGCTGGGAAGTCACAGTTCACGGAGATCTCTCTTACCCCAAAGTCTGCATTACTGTTGTCCCCATTCAATAAGAGTATTTAAGGATGAAAACCTGGAAAAACAGTAGTATCATATGTATCCTTTTCTCAGGGGAACGCTTTGGGCACACCAAGAAGGTTTAAAAATAAGTACATCGCTGTATACAAATGTTGATTCCTGCTAGAATTGTTCATTTTATACACATATATCTGTTCATAGGGTAACTTTTTTCTTTTGAAAGTACCTGTATAACTGAAAATTCAGCAATTTAGATTTCTCTAACAAAGAACAACCCCCCTGCCCACCAGCGCTACTCCCCAGAGAGAGCCACCGCGAACCCACCAGCCCGTGTGGTTCCGCATGCTTTTCTGTGCACGTGCAAACACAGTGCATGCACGCATGCACATGCGGTGCGTGGTTTGCACCAACGGGCCTGCTCACTCTTTCACCTGACGGTGGGTCACAGATCGCTCTCCACGTCGGCAGGCGCAGGCCTGTGCGGGAGAACGGGCTGCTGGGCCTTTAACGAGCAGCCCCTGGATTCTGTCTTCTCCCTGTCGGAGGGCTGCCGTAAACGAGTCTGTGTGTCCATGCTCCCTGTCAGTGTTTCCGTGGCGTGGATTCCCAGAAAGGAAATTTTCCCTTCCTGAAGTAACCACGGTGCACATTTTCAGTAATATCACGGCCCCTGTGATGGCGCCCTCCAGAGGCCATGTGCGTTTACGCACCGGTGTGCCAGGATGCCTCCTCACCACCCCCTGATGTTCTATTTAAAATATTTATCTTTTCTGATGGGTGAAAAATGACACCTCATTATTTTGATCTGTATTCCTTTGATGACTAGTGAACTCGTTTATCTTTTCGTGTGTTTACTAGCCATTTACATTTCTTCTATGAATTGCCTATTCTTGTCTTCGTGTTTTTATTTTTTAATTATAGACACTTTATATGTATAATTATGGATATGAGCTCTTTGCCTTAGATATGACAAATGCGTGTCTAAAAATATTTCCTCCAATATTTCTTCGTCTTTTATTTCCAAAGAACTTAAAACTTCTTTTTTTAAGATTTTATTTATTTTTATTTTTTTAGAGAGAGGGGAAGGGAAGGAGAAAGAAAGGGAGAGAAACATTGATTGGTTGCCTCCTGCACACCCGCCGCAGGGGACCTGGCCTGCAACCCAGGCATGTGCCCTGACCAGGGATCAAACTGGCGACCTTTTGGTTTGCGGGATGACACCCAACCCACTGAGCCACACTGGCCAGAGCTAAACTTTTTTAACAAAAGTAAATTGATCAGTATTTTGTGGTACAGCCTCTAGATTTTGTCAGGATTAATTTTGTAGTTTATAAAATTTTAAACATTTTGTGTCTTTGTCATGAAAAAACCTGAGCAACAGGAGCGGTAGGTGACAGAAGGGCCAGTTTCCATGGGTGGCAGGCGGCTCCACACCGCCGGTCCCTGCCTGGGAGGACACAGCGTGCGGTTAACACTTACGTCCATGTGTACATGCACACACACCATGGGCCCCAAGAAAAGGGCTGGAAACCTGGCTCATAACTTTTCCGGCATTGCCAGCTGCTCCTGGTGTCACTCTCCCACAGGTGACGCCTTTGCAGCATCCAGCTCAACCTCACCCCATAACGGACCTTCTTTCTTTCCTTCTTCCCAGACTATGCAATTTCCAAGCCAGACCTCATGTCACAGATGGAGCGCGGGGAGAGGCCGACCATGCAGGAGCAGGAAGACTCGGAGGAGGGCGAGCCGCCCGCAGACCCCAGTGCCGGTGAGTGGCTGCCGAGTGGCTGCCGGGAGCTCAGGGCTCCACCTTCTAGGTGGGCTGGCGTCCTGCCCGCCAGCTGAGTGCTGAAGGCAGTCGGCCTGCAGGCCAAGGCCCTCCTTGGTCACCAGGCTGATACGTAGGCCTGCTGTTGGGTTCCTTGTCTCAGGGAGTTTTGAGTGACACTCATGATCGAGTGTCCCCTCACTTTGCAGAAAACAAAACAAGAACTGAAAGAAAGGTGGTTCTTGTCAGTGTGCTTGTGGCTGCTGGAGGGGCCATGTCCGGGTCCTGCAGTCAGTCAGTCGGAGAGGGACAGACGTGACCTTTACCCGAAACTCCTTCCTATGTGCAGGACAGTGACTAGACGAGGCATTCGATGGAGGCAGCGGAGCGGTGCCCCGTAGGACCAGCCACATGCCCCGAGGTCCGACGGGCGTCTGGCTGCCCGTGTTTGAGTCCTGGCCTGCCTGCTTGCCAGCAGGGTGGCGTTGGTCCTCGGCCTTTTTGGAGGCCTCTTTTCCTCATCTGTTAAATAGGACTGGTACTAATATCTAGGGCCTGGCGTGGTGGCTGGCAGGTAGCAGTGGCCCGGGCAACACCATCTGGTGTCATTCTGCGTGGGGTGTTGTCCCTTCCACATTGGCCATTCAGTAGCCTGCACGCTTACCCTGTGGTGCTTTTGCGGCGTGCGGTGCGTTGGCGGGGCTCACCGTTTGGAGTTGCCTTTGGACTTATGTGAAGTGCTTTGAAGGTCTTCCGTGGAAGCAGATCCTTGTCCCTTGTAGCCAAATGTCATTGGTGACCGTGGAGGATAATCTCTTTGGGGCCAATGGTCAGGTCTTACTGTGAGGAAATGTCATTGATTTTGGGACCGCCTCTAAACTGACTCCAAGGATGAAATGTGCTTATTGATGTCAGCCCCATGGACCGAGAGCAAAGGTAACTTAGAGAAGAGACAAGACCCCTTGGAAAAGGAAGTGCTGGCATGTTTCAGAGAAATGAGGGTCACGCCTCTCTAGAGCTCTCGGGAGACCTAGCTCAAAGGGAGAGGCGGATCCCGAACTCATCCGGCAGACAGAAGAGGTGGATTTACAAGTAGAGGAGAATGGGGGATCGGGGCCGTGTGGCACATGGCGGAAGGATCTTTTGTTTGAAGGAGTCTGTATCTGAAAGGTTTGGGTGGTCGCATCCAAACACAAGGGCTTTGTGGGAACGGGAAGATTCAGAGTAGAAGAAATGATGAAGCCTTGCAAGGTGCAGAATGAGACTACGGGAGGGGCGGCTTGTGGTTAAAATCCTAATGTCCAGCCCGATGCGCCCGTGTGGTTTTGTGGTCCAGATGCTGCTTTTCTAGCATCTGTTTGAAAGCACTAAAATGAGAGTATTGGTCCCCTTCCTGTGTCCACTTGTCACACTCTCATCACAAATGGGCCTCCCACAGCCTGGGGCCAGAACCCAAAAGCAAATAACCCCAACCCACCGGGCCCTGGGCTGGTTTATCCTGGCACATCCATGGCCACACTGGAGCTTCTCTGGGACGTGGTGGCCTCATAGAAGCTGCTTTGTATGGCTGCAGTGTGCCATTTGTCCCACTAACCATCTCCAGCCACTTGGAGCCTGGACTGGGAGGGAGGGCAGGAGACGACATGGGAACCACTGAGCCAGGGCTGGCCTTGAACTTGCGCGTCTGTGTGAAGCCGGAGGCCTGGATGTGCCCGTGGTAACCTATCCGTGTGTCTCCCTTACATTTACAAGGTGGCGGCAGAGCCAGCTGTAGGCCAGAACTAATGGTGTGATGGATACCAAGGGGGAAAAGTCTAGAGTGCTGAGAATTTTGATAGTTCCATAGTTGTTTGCTTAAGGTAGGGATTGCCAAAGCCGTAGGCAATGTTGATGGAAAAGTAAGTTAATGATATAGAATTAGAAAATGTCAATACAATATGGAGTCAATGGTATAAACAAAAGAGAGGGAAAAAAATGGACGCAAACATACTAAAATCGCATTTCTCAGTGCTTTGCAGAATTTTCTGAAGTGAATATTACTTATCATTCAGTAAAAAAAAATTTTTTTTAAGAAAGGATCTATGAAGGATGACTTTGATTTAATGATGGCAGATTGAACACGGGTTTACTCCATCCTCCCCCAAATCCTTCTTAAACAAGAATGAAGGGACTTGCAAAAGAATGGACAATGAGACAACAGCAACCAGATTTGGGAAGCCTGAAAGCAGGTGTCTGGACAGTGACTGACCGGGAAAGCTGGCTCTGCGGGAACTGAGGGGAACCCGACGTGTACACCCCTCCACCCACACCCAAGACTTAACACTAGTACTGGAGACTCCCGGCGTCTTTGGAAAGGAGGGTAAAGGTGAGGCTAAAACAGGATTCGTGGAACACCTTTTAAAGAGGCCTTTAAAGGCACTTGCCCCTCCGTTGCTCCCCCAGCCCCGGCCCCTGCCTCTCCTAGCTGTGGCAGAGGCCCAAGGCGCATCCTCTGGCGAGGGTGAGCAGGAGGGTCTCCGGACGCGGGCACCAGGCACAGCCGAGGGTGGGTTTCCACGGGGAAAACAAAGGAGTGAGTGAGAGTGGACATACAGAGGCCGAAGTCTCCAGCCACCTTCCCTCACCGGGCCCCCGCAGTGACGCTCACACCCAGGATTAAAACCCTCAGGGCAGGACATTGGAAGAGCTTTCTCAGGAGGCGACCGGGACCAGCCAAGAAATTTCCCAGCCAAATGGCCCGCAGACGTCCTCTTCCTGGGGGTGCGCGCTTGGCAGGCTCCCCGAACGCCCCGAACTTTCACTTCTCTCCTGAGTGTCCCACTTTAATAAAAATGGACGGCCGAGGACCGCGAGGCGTTCGGGAAGAGCGGCTCACATACGGAGACCACAGGGGGAAAGGCAGAAAAACACAAATTTTGAGGAAACAGAGACCGTGCAGAGAAGAGAACAAGTGTTTAAATACAGACGGGCATATATAATCCTGAGAGAGAGAAAAGTGAACGCAAACAGAAGTGTAATGCTTATTAAAAAAAAAAAAAATAGGAAGTAACTCTTCGAAATTAAAAGTAGAATAATACAAGTTATTCTACTAAGCACTGTTAGAAGGTGATGTTAAGCACACGCTTCAGAAAATAAAGCAAAAAGGCAAATAAAGATAATGGGGAAGGAATAAGAAAATTAAAGGATGAAAGTCCAATGTCCAGATAATGGGAATATCGGGGAAAAAAAAGAACAGCAAAACCAGGAAGGAAGGAATTAGCAACAAAATAATTCAAGAAAATTTCCAGCTACACCTGAAACTAATATAATGTTGCATGTCAACTGTAATTGAAAAATAAAAATAGCCCTGGTTGGATGGCTCATTGGTTGGAGCATCATCCAGTAAACAGAAGGGTCTCCACTTCAATCCCCAGGCAGGGCACAAGCCTGGGTCATGGGTTCGGTCCTTGGTCAGGGCATGTGCAGGAGACAACCAATCCTCTCACATCGATGTTTCTGTCTGTCTGTCTCTCTGGAATAAAAAAACTAAATTAAAAAAAATAAAAGTTAAAAATAAATTTTGCAGAAAGAAACATTCCCAGCACCGAAAGACATGGCTTTCCAGGTTGAAAGCACCAACCGACTGTCCAGAACAATGGACAGAAATAGACCCACACCTTAGATGCCCCAGTGAGACATTTCAGAGCCACTGAGGACAAAGGAGATTGTGCAAGTTTCTGGAGAAAAATAAAAATGGGTTCACACAAAAGAGCAAGAATTAGAATGGCTCTGGACTTTCAAGCAATATTGGAAGCTGCAAGATAGTAAAACAATGCTTTTAACATTCTTTAAATTATAAAATTGGAAAATATCATCCAGCCATTCTAGAAGATGATATGTAGTCAGATTATTCCAATTAAATATGAGAGTGAAATTGAGACACTTTAAAGTGTTCACAGTCTGCTATTCCTACATTCTCAAAATGTGGGATAATCCCAGAAAGAGGCGTTAGGAGTCCAACACAAGACAGGTGAAGGGAACCTGGGTGCTGTTGAAGCCCAGAAAGGCAGCTGTGCACCTGCAGGCAACCAGGCCAGACTGGAGCACGTCAGAAGGTTCCAGAAATTTTTGCTTCAAGTAGACAAAATTGAAAAATACCCAATATGTTTGCATGTTTTGAGAGGAGAGTTAAGTGTAGAGCAGGGTTGGAAGAGAGGCTGTGATAAATAAACCAAGCGAAAGAAAAAATTACAAGCTCCAGGGAAAAGCAAAAAAGATGTACAGGCATAGAACAGTGGTTATCATACACTACGTGGTTCAGTTTAAAATAACATTTCCATAATCTAATAATGCAGACACACAATATTGATCCAATCGGAATTGCAAACTAAACGGGAAGGATCAGGGATTTGGAAGAAATATGGGTGGATGGGCAAGAGATGGTCCTCACCTGCTGCTCTTGGAAGTCAATAGATTACACTTAAAATGGGAAATGCACGGAGTAGCAACAGACGTATGTTACTGAGAGTTACGAAGATAAATGATAAAAAGTCCGTTAGAAGAATGAAATATTGCCTCTGGGGGGCCCGTCGTAAGGGTTTGGGGTGGAGGAGAGCTTTTTAAAAACAGATTTTGAAGAACTGCCCAACCCTTTGGCCTATGTGCTCGTATAACTGTTCAAAAAGATTTTAAAAGCTAATACACCAAAACTTTAAAAACCTACCAGGAAGCGCAGCCATGAGCAGATCGCACAGCCAGCGGTTGGCTGTCACGTCTCTGCTTCTCACTGGTAGGGAAAGTTAATGTAGCAACACTGCTTTTTACTCTGCAAAAAAGCAAAGTTTCACCAAGAAGAAAAAATGCAGAGAGCGAAAGCTCCATGTAATTATCCCACAAGAGCCAGCAGTTTATTCCTTACACACACACACAGCCTTAACCTTAAGTAATGCATAACTACGTACTCACTGTTAAAAGGAAATCCAAACAGCATAGCGGTATGTTGTTTGGCAACTTGTTTGATT